GCAGCTCCTCCATACTTTTGGAGCTAATGCAGTCAGTCACGCAGAGTAGCACAGCAACACTGTGGAACGCTCATGATGCAACAGTGTTCCAGCACACGCTGATCTGTTTGTGAGGTGGCACCAGTCCAAGGTTCAGCTCACACTGCCATCTCATGTCTAGAGCTTGCTTCTGCTCCTCTTAAACTTCTTGACACAGACACACAGCTCTACAGAGCAGGGTGGGGTTGTAATGAGACATGGTGTAACCAACTGCCCTCTACTGATAATGACATCAGCTGTGACAACAACCGAGCTCACAGTGCAGTAGACCTTAATAAATCTACCATGACCTGTCTGAATGTTTTTGATGAAAAAAATCAAACAGGAGCTGAGTTGTGACGTTTTAGTCTTTCTCATTGTTTGCATAGCATGGTACTTGTGAATTCATGGTAAACCATGTAAATGTGAAATTTTATTCAAATAGTATTGATAATAATACTTTTGTATCATTGTGTTATGAACTGTTATAGGAAGCAGACGCAGCCACCCCCACCGGAGAGTCCACCCAAAGAGCAGCCCAGTAGTTCACCGTCTCAGGTGAGTTACCAGTTTCTTGATTCACACTGTATCTGGGTATGTATATTTTCTCCACTAAAACACTTCTGCAAGTGTCATATAAAGTCCCATGCATGCTCCTCTTGAGAGCCTCATTGCTCTACAACCCTGTGTGGAGATGATCTGCAGAGCATATACAGTGTAATTCCAGGGTTATAATTTTTTATTTTCTTCATGTTCTTGTATTTACTAATAAAGAATTTCTCCTCCCAGAAACGACCTGCTGCTGACTTCATTGACCCCCTAGTCAACAAAAAGCCTAGAATATCACACCTTGCCAACAAGGCTACAACAACCCCTCTGAATGGCCGACTGGGCTCATCCAATGGGAAAGCAGAAGTCCAGTCTGTGTCTGTTTCTTTGTCGGACTCTGGTGTAACGTCCAGCACCCAGCCCTTGCCAGCACTGGACATCCCTCGTCCTTTTGAAGCACTTTCGGACGTCAGTAACGATTCCAGCCATAATGGCCGTGATTGTGACTCTCATGAAAGCACCGAGAGACTGTGTCCTGCACCTTCCCTCTCCTTGGGCCCAGCAGCGATGTCCACTCCCAGCATCAGCACGTCTTCCCCTGGACACAACATCCTGAATGTGGCTCGGGACCAGAGTCCTACCTCCTTAGTCAACAAGTCAAAAAAGAAGTCCAAAAAACATAAAGATAAAGACAAGACCAAAGACCGAGAAAGGGCAAAAGAAAAGGCTCAAGAAAAGGAGAAGCAAAGGAAAGTTTATGAGGAACGAGAGCCTGAGCCCAGAGCATGTGAGGCGAGTCCTGACACCCTGAAGAGCAACAGTATTCCACACAGAAGCACAGGTGAGACTGTTTTTTTTGATAAATGCTTTCAGTGATATCAGAAATTGCGTACAGGGTGCTTTTCCAATGTCCACTTGTAATCTTGACTAGATGTATTCTGGGGGTATCTAGAGACCCCTGCTGTTGAGTTTTGGATCTACTGACTTGATGATAAATCTGCTTTTTGTAATTTTGCTTTTTCCAGATATTAATGGAATGTGCAACATTACCAGTATTCCTTTGTCAACCCCTGAAGTGGCTGACTATTTATTGTAAGTAATGTAATGTACATATTGTAACTATGAGGTTTTCTTTTTTAATTTTTATTTAGAACTTTTTTCTTTCTTTGTCATCTCAGGAAGTATACAGTGATTGGCTCTCCTGAGCAGCGCCAAAAGTATAAAAATGATTTCAATGCAGAATACACAGAGTACAGGGGCCTGCATGCTCGGATAGAGGGCATCACTCGGCAGTTCACAGTGCTGGACAATGAGCTGAAACAGCTCCAACAAGGCACAGACAAGTACAAGGTGCATTTTTCTCTTCACACAAATGAAATACTTGACATCATTCAAGTATCATACTAACAAAGTCCATACTGTTTTGCAGACAATCCATAATCAGATTCTTCAAGAGTATCATAAAATCAAAAAGGTAAGCTTACATAAAAAAATACTTTAATCTGCTTAAAGTCTATAACTATAATAAAGGAAACTGCTCCAATTTGTTTCAGACTAATCCCAACTATAGTCAAGAGAAGAACCGCTGTGAATATCTACATAACAAACTGGCACATATTAAGAAACTTATTGCCGAATATGATCAACAGCAACTTTAAGAGTTTCTCTGTGGATTCTGTTTTCCTTTGAAAATCTTCTTGAGAGATGCCATGAAGGGAATGTGGGCTCATCAGGGCTGAAGGCTCTTGTGGGCAATAAACTGGACACCTTCATCTTTTGTTTTTTTTTCTTTTGATGGATCATACGGCTGTAATGGTCAGACCCATCAGGTAGTTACAATGCATCCCAGCCTGCGGTTAGTGCACTGTGGTAAAGGATTCAAACCTACACGTTTTTGTGAACTATACAATCTTTAAAACTGGAGAGAATGGGACACTTTTTTGAAATTGACAGATTGTGCACCAAAAAGCAGCTTTTGAGTTTATAAAATTGAATGAAACATCAGTTAAACAAATGGTTGTGATGTTTATAATGAATTCATTTCTCTGGTTCCACTATTTATTTTTGACTTATTTGGGGGGGTGGGTCTGCTCCACACTCCCCAGTATCAGTACTTAAAAACTGTCTGTGCTTTCCCTCTCATCTTGAATGTCAGCCAGTATTTTTCCCAGAAGCTGCCTTGTCCATGGAATTGTCAATGTATTGGCATTCTTTTTTTCTCTTTTAAAGAGGGACAGAAATTACTGTTGATTTAATCAAATTATTGCTTTAAATGCACACAGCAAGAAGCAGGCCTGTGTGCTTAGCCTTTTTTCTAAATTATGTGCAGATGTCTTAATGAGGGACATTTCCATTTACTGAGCTTTAAACTGACCACTTAATTTTAACAAGCTGTACTTGTTCTTTGGTCACATTCAAGCAGTGGTACTTAGTTAAGGTTCATCATTTTGGTTCAAGGCAAGATGCCATAATAAATACTTAGCTCTTAATTTCACCCTTTTTGGTTTAGTTTGTTGTAGCTTTTGTAGCAATCTTTATTCCACGTTTTCTGACATAATCATTTCAGTGTTTCCATTTATTTCATGATACAAAACATTATTTTAATAAAAAAAAATAAATAAACATATTTAGATTATTTTTAGGAACCATATTTTTCAGATATTTGTGTTGATTCTTCTGAAATCATTCTAATCACAGTTTTAGATGTAAACCCACTATTGTCAGTTGGGATGACTGTTAAGATGAAGCCATCACAATGGTTGGACTGCTCCTTAAGGTCTCAGAGGAACTGCCGGCCAATTTTGCCTTTCCAGATGTGACAAAGATGACATACAAATTATTGCTTTTTCTAAAGCTCTTTCCAAACAGCCTAGCAACAGAAATGCTGTAGTAAATAGGACTGGTTTAGTCAGTGCTAGATTTCATGTGAATATAAAGATCAGCACCTTCTCTTGCTGTTATCTGGGGTTTCTTTGTCCATCAGGGTGCATGCATAATGACATAAGTTACAAAGAACAATCCTTTAATTGTGACATTGGCGGTGCAGAGATTAGAAACTGAATTGGCATGCAAGACATGGCTTTGACCAGCATGTATACTACCAAAGTGTTACTTGCACACACTGCTCTACCAAATGGAAAAGGAACATATCTCAGTATTTGATAAAAAAAACTGTGGAAATCTTAATTCCTTTTCAGTCCCATGCTCATGAAAGTTTCCTATGCTTTAGATTAGATGGGTGTTTTATATTGTAAGGTACTGGCAGGTTAGGACACATGAGACACTACATCAATGTCCTGTCCATTGGTGACAGGTTTGAGGAACAGCACACTCAGCTGCAACTCTCAACAAGAAAAGTTGCATTGAAATAGGCCTATATTTTCTGAGAACATTTTTGTACACATCTATTGTTGTCAAGCTCCATTGTGAATGAGTTTTTTTCTTTATTGGGATGTTAAATCAATATGCCAGCACAGAAAAACTGTTGTATGAGCTGATTGTGCCAAAATGACCTGTTGTATAGGTTTTTCTTTTCTCTACATACAAGCTGCTGTAAAGAATGAATAAAGTAGGCTTTGGAAAGAAGAAATCCAGGTGTAAGCCCAAAAGCATGCTTTCTTTGTCAATACCTTTAAGGGACTGGGACATGATATTTGTTTCAATAAAATATTTTTCCTTTCATGTTGTTTTTGCATCACTAAGCTGAAGACGTAGTTCAGCATTCCTCCTGGTGGTGGCAGCAGATATAAACAATTTATGTCCAAATGCTCGTTTGGGCAAACCCGTGTGATTTCAATACGTTGATTTTACGATATGTTATGGTACCGTTACAGAAATATTATGTACAAAAGGTGTGTTGACATGTGTTTGGGTCCAAAGTTCGGGTGACCTATTTGTAATGAGCTGACCATGGTTTCGCAAGGCAACTCTAGGGGGACCGGTTTGCTTGGCTTTGACACACTGAATGATCTTAGAACTCTGCAATGGCTTCAGGGTTGGCCAGTCAATTCTCCTGCACCTCACTCCAATGCCGAGCTTGGCCCCAGCAGCAGCGGCCCGTGCTGAGTGCGTGGGGCGGGTGGGTCAGTGGGTTCAATTCGGCAACGTGCCATGCATCCCTCCCCCCTTAACCTCCACAGCAGCCTACACTGTCATGTTTACACACAAGAGCCCCTCCTGTCGTCACTGTTGTCGAGATTGTTACTGTCAATTTGATCCACTACTTCAATAGCTTACCCCTATTTTGCCAACTAATGACTTCCACATAGCATAGTCTTGTTATAAGGCAGTATGCAGAATAATGTCCAATTTAGCTCATAGAAACTCGCTATAACAAACGGCATTGTATTTCTACACCCTAAATAAAACGCGAGGCGTGGAGTGATGATAAAACCCTCAGCCTACTCAGGAGGCCGAGCTCTCTGGGCTGGCTCGTGTTCCTGACCCACGCGTGTCGTTGTTATCACGGCCCGTGCTGACGTACGTGTCTCCACCGCTGTGTGGATCCCTGCCATATTCACGCCGGGCAAGATGGCGGCGATACGGACGGGCTGTTATTGCCAGTGAACACAAAAAGGCATTTATTTAAGCTAACAAAGCCGTTCAGAAACATTTGTACCATCGACCATATCGTGTGCACATTTCCGTCGAAACCAACGTCGACGTCTCGTTTATGTTTCGCGTATTTCTGACAAAATGTTAACGTTGTAACCTACTCGCTAACACGGGCAGTAAGTAGCCAACTAGCTATCTATCACAGCCAAGCCGCCGTGAAGTGGAGAATGGGAGAAAAGCTGGAGCTGAAACTCAAATCGCCGGTCGGAGCAGAACCAGCCGGTTACCCGTGGCCATTACCAGTATATGTAAGTAGCACACAATATAACACGCACGCAGTTTTATAAAATAAATGTGTGTTGTTGTCTTTGTTAGCTAGCCCTGTGCTAATGGTGGCTAGTCGATGGAGGCAGAGCACACAGGGGAATCAGGTCATACTTGTCGGTACGGTCACAGACTTGATATCAGGCACAGTATTTGTTTTAATCATATTAACCTATTTTTAGTCATTGCACAGTCCGGTGATACCGTAGAAAGTGGTGTCTAGTGGTCACTTTTGTGTTACAGCTTGTTTACAGTGGTCACTGTCATTGACTGTCCATGGCAGTCCTTACAACTGGTTAATAGTGCAACGATAGTAGTCGCCTGAGGTGCACATAGATGGTATTATATTTTAATAACGTGCTTGTGAATTAACTACCTATAGGTAATAGATATTTGATCATACATTTGAGTGATTATTTGGTGGGTCTAAGCGCTACTGTAAACTTTTCATTGTGCGTACAGTGTGTAGTATTTATTCCATGTGACATGAGTGTGTCAGAGCCTGCAGGCTCACAGAAGTTGGTTCATTGAAGAGAAGCGGAAAGGGAAGTGGTTGTAGTGATGCCTATGTCTATGACTCAGTGTAGGGTAAAATCTTCATTTATAGTAGTTGTGGTGAGACAGATGAGTATATATACATTTCTGAGAAGTTTCAAGACATTTTAATTCCCTCATGTAACCTGCTTTATAACACAATTGTGCCACATTGAACCTAAGTTTAAGACAGGTCACCAAACTGTTTGTGCATGTTTTGGTATTATGCAGATGGCAGTCCTTTCTGTTTTGACTGACAAAGCTGTTCCTTGTTTCACACCAGGCCAGTCTTTGATAAGAATCCTTCCCTATTAATACCACCCCCCTTTCCGTGTGTCATTTTCCACTTGGAGAACCGAAGCATGCAAGGAATACTCCTCCTGACATGCTCCACATTTATTTATACATGAACTAGTAATCTGGCATTGAATTGGAAACAGACAATTGGCTCACATATGGCATTCTACAATTCAGAGCCCATTCATGCAGTGCTGTCCTCCTGTTTTCAAAGGACTTCCTCTCCCGTTCTCCTCATGTCCATATGGTCAGCTCTGCAGGGAAGAGGACAGAGCATTCTGACAGTGGGATATTATTAGATATCATTAAATATGTATAATCTCACCTGTGGGCTGTTTTTATGATAAATCTATTCATAAGTGATATCTATCTATTGCTGTTTTCAAAATACTAAAATTTCAAATTCTATTTTATATTTTAGGTTTAATCATTATTTCAGAACCACAATAATAATTAAAAACTGTTCAAATCAGTGTCAATTTTTAATACATTTTTGCATCGATAAGTATGTGGGTATTGATTTTTATGACTACCCTAAAATAGAAAACAAGATTTTGTAGTTTTCAGAAAACGCTGCACCCTGCCTCCTCCTCCTCCTGCCTATCCCAGATGTCCTAAATGTTTCCATATGAAGACATTTTTTAGCGGAGCTACAAACCAAACCTACAGTGTACTTAAAGCATAGATTCTTATATTGAACAAGACCAGAGCTTTTGTCATCTTTTTGTTCAGTTTACAGGAAATGACACAGCCTTTGTGATATGGTGTGGTTTTGCAAATCATTTTAATTACAGAGGGGTTTTTTATGAGGGAGGGAGCCACCCCACTTCCCACAGTGTTGCAGCCTCATTGTCATTGTTTAAGATAAAACAAAAGTTTTGGAAATTCCCTTTGCATTTCCATTATGCGCAGTCACACTAAAGGTGCACTTTTCATAACTAGTCATCAGCAGGAAATGATGGTAATTTTCATTAGAAGCTGCATGACCCAATATGAATTTTAAGTATTTTTACCTTGTCATTTTTGTTGAAAATAATGAGGTTGCCTTTATACACTCAAAATAACAGACCATACAATAATAAATGTTGAATGTGTGTAGAGTCTGACGAATGACAAGACGATAAAGAAAAAACACAAAGTGATTTTTCTTCGTTGATCGTGCTCTATTTTCTGTTGACGTTCAGTAATAATTTCCTGAACATAAAAAAATTGTCCACAGTTCTTCCTTCAAAGTCTGAACTCTGCTCAAACCACATGCTTTATTTCTATCACTATATTTTATTTGACTTGTACTTATACATTTATGTTTTCATAAAATTATGACTTGTTTGACACCAGTCTCTTGCTGTGTTTATTTTGAATTTATTATTACCATTTATATTTTTACTCTTTGTTATTATAGTGTGATGAGTGAGCTGTGGTGTCCAAACAATTTCCCTTGTGGATCAATAAAGTTGATCTAAGTCCAAGTAACCAGCAGCACATTGGCTGTAGACCTCTTGGTATAAAAACAGACAAGCTTATCATACACAATTAGAAATGATTGAATCTTAATTAAAATGTGATTAATAGTACAGCCCTAATCGTACGTTGAGATTTGAATATGGTTCCTTCCCTCTTCACCACCAAGCAGAGAGGAGGGGTCACTCCTGGTTTCTGTGTTTATTTTTAGCCCGTGAGCTGAGCTGGTGTTGCTGTGTGCGTCTTTGTCTGAGCAGATGACCCCCTCCTTTTAGAGTCTCACTCACACGTGCTGCTGCTGTGAGGTAGCTGTGTGCTGCTTCTAATTTGCAGAACACTCTGTCCTTCTTTTTGCCTATTCAAAGAGTGGATTTTTGGCCATATTAATGCTATAGATAATAATAGTTTACAGAAGAAACAAGCAGGAAGTTTGTGTATTATTGCTTTGAGGTGGAGCTGTCAAACAGCTATCAAAGCCTGGTGTTGATTACTCATCTTTCTCTGTCCGTTAGCGTTGAGTTGTTGCTGTTCATTTACTGTTTTCCTTCTCTAGTCCTCTTTGGCTCTGCAGTGGAGCCAGAGTCTGAAAGTGGGTCAGTGGGTCATTTCAGGCAACGGGCTCGGCTGGCTGTGCTCCGGTGTAATATGAGCCCTGTTCCTTCCATAGAGCTGCACAGCACTCTGCAGTTATGAATCCACCCATGTCCTCTGCCATATAATCAGTGCACCACAATCCGTAATGTGCTCTCTACTACCGTTACTGTATGTTTCTTAAGAAAATGATGCTAGTACGCTTTTGTATTGTATATATTACACCCTTTATAGTAAAAATATGTTGGATAGGCCATAACAAGTCCACACAGAAATATTTGTACTCTAGTAACCCTGTTCTTATGTTGTGTTTTTCAGGATAAACATCATGATGCTGCTCATGAAATCATCGAAACCATACGGTACATTTCAAGCTATATCATTCTGATTTAATTTATTTTACCAGGCAAAAGATGAATAACAATTTCATATTAACAATGTTGGTTTACAATGTTTTCTTGTTCATTTAAGTCAGTTAAGTCTGAGTGACAGTGTTTACATATTTTCTAGGTGGGTGTGTGAGGAAATACCAGACCTCAAACTGGCAATGGAAAACTATGTGCTCATTGATTATGACACAAAAAGGTGAGTATTAATTGATCAAAAATAAATTTTAACATTTAATAAGGTAATTTAATTTTATGCGCAAATGTATGTGTCCTAGTTTTGAAAGTATGCAAAGACTATGTGACAAGTACAACAGGGCCATTGACAGCATTCACCAATTGGTTAGTAAATTGATCATTTGTTTTCTTTGAAGCTTGTGTTGGAGGTTTGTTTCTAAAGATTATCATTTTCAGTGGAAAGGGACCACCCAGCCCATGAAACTGAATAAGCGTCCATCCAACGGTCTGTTGCGCCACATTCTGCAGCAGGTGTACAATCACTCTGTGACTGACCCAGAGAAGCTCAACAACTATGAGCCCTTTTCTCCAGAGGTGTACGGAGAGACCTCGTTCGACCTTGTGGCTCAGATCATCGATGAAATTGAAATGATGGAGGAGGACACCTTTGTAGATCTTGGCAGTGGTTAGCAAGATTTAAAAAAAATATTAATATCATTATTAAAGCATGTTGTAAAGTATGTTGGTCATTGAAATATTAATGGCAGTATTTGTAATAAATCCACAATAATTTCAATTGTAGGAGTTGGGCAAGTTGTGCTGCAAGTTGCTGCAGCAACCAATTGTAAACACTACTATGGTGTGGAGAAAGCAGACATTCCAGCCACCTATGCAGAGGTAATGCAATATTTATCTTCTACAACAAAGACATTTTAAAAGTGATGCAAGAATTTATTTTTTTTATACACAATTTTTCAATAAACTTACTTGGATATTCTAATGACATTGACTTAAACTATTATTATAAGTATGTTTCCCCACTTAATGCTCTTGTCAATTCAGACCATGGATAAAGAGTTTAAAAAATGGATGAAGTGGTATGGAAAGAAACATGGGGAGTATACAGTAAGTACACATTGCATTTACAATACTTAAAATACATACTTTCTGTACTGGTGTTTATATATTGTTTGCTGTGTCTCAGCTGGAGAGAGGGGATTTTCTGTCTGAGGAGTGGAAAGATAGAATTGCCAACACAAGGTAGAGGATTAAAGCTTGTTGCGTCACTTGGTTTTGTAAACCTGATCTATCATTGGATGATAAGTTCAATGTTTTCTGTTTGTGTTGCAGTATTATTTTTGTGAATAACTTTGCCTTTGGTCCAGAAGTAGACCACCAACTGAAGGAACGATTTGCAAATATGAAGGAAGGTAAGTATTCAGCCAACAAATCATTGTCTTGTAGTTGCTATGAATTAAAAATACATGGACATGTCTAAGGTTTTTTTATCTTTCAGGTGGGAAAATAGTTTCCTCCAAACCTTTTGCACCTTTGAATTTTAGGATAAACAGTCGGAACTTAAGTGGTAAGTTAAATGCGTGATTATATAGAGCATAAATGTTTCATCTATCATTCTGTGTTGATGACATTGGTCTTTCACTGGTACAGATATTGGCACAATAATGCGTGTGGTGGAGCTTTCTCCTCTGAGAGGCTCAGTGTCCTGGACTGGAAAGCCTGTTTCCTACTACCTTCATACCATTGACCGCACCATAGTGAGTTATCAACCTGTTTGTTTTTTTTTTAAATAATGTGATTGTGGTCCTATGTGTTTCTTTAATAAGCCAACTCTTTTAAAGGGGCAATAAAGAACTAATACTGCATCATATCTTAACATTTCCTTTCAGCTTGAAAATTATTTTGCTAGTCTCAAAAATCCTAAACTCAGGGTAAGTTTATTTTTTTGTACCACATACAGGTCTCTTAAATGTCACAATTTAATATTTTGACATTACTGTTTTTAGGAGGAGCAAGAGGCAGCTAGACGACGCCAGCAGAAAGATACAAAGGAAAGTAAAAGCAATAGCACCACACCCACAAAGCCAAAAGAACCCACCAAGGTAGGCTGGCCATATTTTTCTGAAGTATTTATAGCAGTTTTCTTTTTATGAACATATTTTTGTCATTACAGCCGGATTCTGGTGACGAAGAGGAGCATCCAAGCTTGGTGACAGTGGTGAAACCTAGTCCCAAACCCAGAAGAACACGATTATTGTCTAAAGGACGCAAACTGAACAACAAAAAACGTGGTCGCCCCAAGAAGGCCTCTGTTACTACCACTGAGAAGAAAAATAAGAAAAATCAAAGTGCATTGGATTTGCTGCATGCCAAGACTCTGTCTGCAGCACCTGCTCAGGGTCAGGCACTACACAAAATATACTGCATTTTACTGTTTTTGTCACAGAAACTCATTGTTTTATATGTGTCCAGATTCATACCGGTCACCTCAAAGTCCTTTCTACCAGCTACCTCCCATGGTTCAGCACTATCCTTCTAGTCAACTGCTGCTCGGCCCAACTCCTCCAGCTTTGCAACAAATGCTAGGTAACCTCTTGTCAACATAGTTGCAGCTAGTTTTGTAGACTGTGCAATGATACTAATAATAAAGTATTATTTCTCTGCAGATAACATCAAAATACAATACCTACAGTTTATGGCCTACATGAAGACCCCTCAGTATCGTTCCAACCTGCAGCAGCTTTTAGAACAGGAGAAGGTACAATTAGTCGCAAAAAATTGGATACCCTACTCTCATAAACCTCAGTGTGACCTTTGCAAATTATCACTTGCTTATTTGTGTGTTCTGCTTTTTCTTTAGCAAAAACACAGGGACCTGTCAGGACAGGCAGAGCAGTTGCAAGCTGTCTGTCAGTCTCACAAGGAAAAAATTAAAGGACTTTTTCAAATGAAGCTTGATGAGGTAAATATTATAATACTGCATTTAGTTAATGCTGGTTTTGACAATTGCTAAATTAAAATGCATGGTGGTTCACAGTTAGGTGTGAAAGCCCTGACGGCAGAGGACCTGTTACAAGCGCAAAAAGAGATATCAGCTCACAATCGCCAACTGAAAGAGCAGACAAAGCAGCTTGAGAGGGACATGGCCTTATTGAGGGACCACAGCCTGTTGCTAGTAAGTTCCTTCCTTTTGTGGTTTGTAAAACTGAAGTAGTTTTTACATGCTAACCCTTTTATTTTGTTTGCTACAGCTGAAGACTCGATGTGAGGAGCTGAAGCTTGACTGGGGCTCTTTGTGTTTGGACAGTCTGTTGAAGGAAAAACAGGCCTTACGAAGACAGATATCTGAGAAGCAGAGGCATTGCCTGGAGCTGCAGGTATATAGTTGATCTGGCACTTTTGAACTGAACCTGAAATATCTGACATAAAAAATACACATTTATGTTGAGTTCAAAAGATTTCCAGAATTCCTCCTCATTGCTGTAAGCGCCCCCTGGTGTCTCTTTTCAGATCAGCATTGTTGAACTAGAAAAGAGCCAAAGGCAGCAAGAACTGCTGCAGCTCAAGTCCTACAGTCCCTGCGATGGTTCCCCATACAGAAAGAATTTGGAATCACGATCCTCCATAGACATGGACACTACAAAGATGGGTCTGTCCTCTGTCCCATTGCATAATGGCATTAGTCCTGAATTAAATGGCACCAGCTCTCCATGTTTTGAACGCACCAACATGAAAGGAGAGCTCCTTTCCCGATACCTCCCCATCTCCCCGGACCATGAGCTTGGACCTGCTGCTTCTGATGTCCGACAGAGACAGCACACCTCCTCTCACACTCTTCCAGACTACACCCGCTTCTCACCCGCCAAAATAGCCTTACGTAGGCATCTCAATCAGGATGCTACTGCCGCTGCCCAGCTAAGAGGTCCTGGGATGATGACACACAGGTCTGTTCTCAAAGCTTCAAAGAAATGAGTAGAACAAATTGATGATATAGTTGTATTAAGTGGAATTGCTTTTCAGGGGTGAATTAGTTGGTATTAATCCTCCAGCTAAACAGAATTGTCCCTCGCCTGGAGCAACTGAAACCCCAAGTACTACAGCTAAAAACTTTGAGAGGGTAAACACAAAGCTTTTGTCTTTGTCATATTCTTTAATGTGAATTATATAATTAATTTCATACTACTTTCTTTTTCAGGTTGGTAAAGAGAAGAGTCCTCCTCAAAGTGATAACAGTATTACAAGCCTTCCAATTAGTATCCCTCTGAGTACAGTCCACCCAAGCAAACTGCCTGTCAGTATCCCCCTGGCCAGTGTGGTGCTGCCAAACCGAGCTGAGAGACTGGTCAGAAATTACGCTTTCTCCTCTACTTCTATCTTGTCTTCTTATCCTCTACTTCTATCTTATCTTCCATATTGTCATAATAAGTTATTTTTAATAGCAGTAATAGCAGTCAGAAATTAAATGTACAAGCACGTCTATGAGCTACACAATACACATTATCATCTGACTGTGGACCATGAGTTCACAAACAAATGTATAAATAAGATAACGTCAATTCAGGACTTTAGGGTTTAAGATCAGAGAAGGCAGTGTAGGAGGTTACCTGTCAAAGTACACCACACGTCCCAGTGACATCACTAACTGCAAACATTACATATTTGAGCGCATTATAGAAAATACTGTGGAACTATTATTGCACAAGTCCTTCTCGTTATGCTTTGCAGTGTCACATCACAATCTATTTTTAACAATTGCTGTGCCATTTAATCTGTATACTTCTTTAGGTAACATTTGATTATCATATCTAATGTCTGTTTTTACAGAGAAGTACTCCTAGTCCTGTCCATACAAGTCAGACCAATGGTAAAGCTAAAACAAACACAAATTTAATTGTACAACTTAAAATTTGGAATACTAATGGCTTTTTTTTCCATATAATAATTGATGTAGGATACTCTTCCAGCTCAGGGTTAATGAATGGAGTTCTTCACTCTGAGGACCATAATGGTGCTTCGCTGTCTCCTCCCTCCCACTCCAACCCACCTCTGACAGGACCAATGAGCCGCGGGTCCATCCAGAGTCCCTCTCTCAGTACTGGAGGAGTGCTCCAGTATGCAGATGGTCCCCCAAGGATTGTGCCAGAGGAGGGTCCCGACCACAGGGGAGGCGAGTCGGACAACGAGCCCCTGGAAAGTGAGATGCGGAGGAGAATCTTCTTCTCCTCTTCCTCCTCATGTTCTTCATCTTCCGGTAGTGGAAGCAGTGCAGCTTCAGGGTCACGCGTTCACCACCACACTGGCAGCTCAGCCAAGCAGGGATACCATGGCAACCATCACCACCAGTCCCCCGGCACACAGCACACCCACACTCCCACACATACTGCGTCACACTCCTCCCACAGCCTGGGTGCTCAGGAGGGTCGCAAACGAGGCAGAAGGAAACGGGGCTCCACAGGAGGAGCTGTCACAGCCAGCACCTCCCCAAAAAGGAGATCATTCCCTGGGCTCAACGCCAGCCATCACTCCTCAGGATCACCACTCAACATCAATTCAATGGTAAGAATTGACTTCAGTGTACTTGTCTTTATGCTTGATGTCACCAGTGTGATGCTGTAACATGCTGTCTACTGTGTAGGTTAGTAACATTAACCAGCCTCTGGAGATCTCTGCCATATCCTCTCCGGAGCAGTCAAGCCGCAGTCCCAGTGGGCTTGACCTGGACCAGCCTCCTATTCTCAAGAGAGAGCGTCCTTTAGAATTTAATGGAACAGGGCGGTATTCATCAGCCCCCAGCTCAGATGATGAGGACTCTGGCTATCCTGCAGACAGCTCTAGTTCAAGGTCACTAATTTGATTTTCTACTGTTTTGATGCCTTGTAGTAGGTCATTTCTAAATTTCTCTTTTGTTTTAGAATCGAAAGAAAAATTGCCACAATATCGCTGGAAAGCAGAGACATTCCCGGTAGATTTGTGGACACTGATAGAAGTAAGTAATTAATGATCACAGCTGCCTTTGTTTTTTGTTTCTCACGGACATTTTTACTGTAATAATAGGCAGGAAATCTGGGAGTAGCAGTGGAAACAGCACGGGCAGTGAATCATCATCTACATCCTCCTTGTCCTCTACAAGCAAGTGGAAGTCTACATTCTCCCCTATTTCTGACCCCAAGCAGCCCGGCTCTGAGCTAAGACCAGGCGGCTCTCCTTTTGGTGTGGGGGGGCCCAGTCGCAGCACAGACTCTGATCCAGACCACAAGCCCCATGCTCAGGGGCGCAAAGGCAGTGATGGGGAATCCACTTATGTGATGTCCAATCCCTTCCTCAGTCAGGAGGGGGCTGTGCGAGGGGGAGCTAGTGGAGGCAGCGGTCCACAGGGACCCAGTGGGTCTGAGGCACGGCAGGTTCTGCAGAAGCAGAAGGTCCCACGAGACTGGGAGTCCAAGACCAGCAGCAGCCAGAACCTGTTCATCTCTGCCGCTGCCAGCAGTGGAGCTGGCATTCTGAGCTCAGTCTCCTCCACCTCTGGGACCGCCGTGGGGCAGTACCTGGGTTCTCAGTTTCCACTTGGAGGGACCTCGGTCCTACAATCACTATTTGGGGCCCAGACAGGGTCTTCTGTGAACGGGTCGACCCGGCTTGTTAATGGACATTCAGCCCTTGGAAGCTTCTCTAGTGCTGGTTTGGCCGGAGGAGCAGCTGGAGGTGAGCATTACTGATGACAGTTTTCACTTTTAACTAAGGTTCAGAGCTCAATATAAAGATTAGGATTATATAGGATAGATAACTAAAAGTAAATGATTGATGTAAAATGAGGTAAGTGAAAGCCCAAAGCTGCTGACTTCATCTGCTTCACTGACTTCACTGACGACTTGCTTTGACTGGGACAGCTCACTGCAGTGCTTTAGGTGGGAACACCCTTGGAAAATGTGGGATCAGTTTAGCATTTGATCAAACTGAACATCAAAATGTAAATTCCGATTCTGTTTCACCAATGATATATTTTCTTTGGGTGTATCTGTTCAGAAGTAACAGAGGCAGCTCACACTCTACTAAAGTGAATCCAAAGTTCAGATGAATTTGGACTTGCTTGTGGGCTGGTCTGACTCTGTTTGCTCTCTGTGCTTGTTAAAGACTTGCTTGGCGCTATGCACAACCTGGCTCAGCCCTTGCTTCTCTTTTTGTCCCCCTCTTTCTCGCTCTATCCCCCTTCCCCTGGTTCGACCTCTTGCCCCCTGCTCCCTACATTTCTATCCTTTGCAGGAATCTTTCACCATGTGGTACCTACAGTGTCCTCTCATCAGTTTGGGGCGACGCTGGCCGCCTCTGGAGGCCTTGGCTCTCTGCTCAGTCTCTCCACCTCTACCTCGTCCCAAACCCAGCAGCACAGCCCGTCCCCAGCCGCGTCCTCTCGACAAACCCCTGTGTCCTCTCCTGTCCTTCCCTCTGCTCAGCACAGCCGCACACAGACAGTTCTGCACAGCCCCTCTCCCCCCACTCTCTCCCTGCCTCCCCCCCCTCCTCTCCATACTGTCCCATCCTCTTCAGCACCCATACTACCTGATAATCAGACATCTTCGCGTTCAGAGCGCCTGTCCCATACTGCCCTCCACCAGCAGAGGGTGCAGCCCTCCCTCTCCATTTCCACCTCTGTGTGTTCTGTCTCTGCTGCTTCTGCCCCTCTGTCTTCCTCATCCTGTCTGTCTTCTTCGTCGCGTCCTTTTGCTGTGCACTACTCGCCTCGGCAGCCCCCTCCACAGGCTGGCAGCAGCTCTGCAGGCAGTGGGGGCATGTGGAGGACTCAGAGTATGCATACTGGCCACTCCATGTCCCATCTGCCTGGCTCCCGGCCTAGATAGGTTTTGGAGTGAGGGTGGGGGGAGGGGGGTGACACAGGGCAGTCAGTGGATAGAGAGGGAGAGACTGGTAGGGTGGGAGAGACAGGGTTTACCATGCTCCTGCAAGGGGATGTCTTCAGAGCAAGGTGAGTTCTCTTCATTGAATGTTGTGTGTTGATTTAGTCTGAAATGATAAAAGAAACTCAAATGTTTATGCTTTTTCTTTTTACTTTTTCTCCTTAGGTAATTAATGAAAACTACCTCATCATTAAATGAACTATGCAAATGTCCAGGTGTGGACCAAGGCACTCTACTCTGTCTTTGGTGCTCCTAAGCGTCTGCACTACCATCCGCCTGCCGGACCGCTTCCTGTCCTGGGATATCTCATACACACACACACACACACAATTTACTCACACATCTACTTTGACTGTCAGTCTAGTCCCACTTGAACAGAGCTCAGGCTCTTGGTCACCTTTGGACCTGTGTTAAGTGGTTGTTTTAACAGCATCATCACTACCTCAATTTCTAGTTTTGAGGTGCTTTTGATTTGAAAGAAACTCTAAATTATTTTAACATAATAATGTTGGCTCAACCATTAAAATGTAATGATTTATCTTAGAGAGATTAGAGGAAAGATTACATTTAGCGCCATTTCAAATGTACACCTCATCTAGACATTGAGGCCAGTCCCTTCAACACTTTTAAGTCCCCTTAATTTATCTCATAGCCACTTTTCCTCACACTTCACTTCTTGTTCCTTGAACTGTTTATGATTTGTCATAAAACCAAATAAGGGATCTAAACTATTGACCCGACATCACACTGGAAATGACCTGCAGAGGCTTGTGTAGCATAATAGAATAAGCCAGATACTGGCTGCATTATTTAGCCCTATTTAGCTTTCATTCGGCTACCATGTTACACAGTGTTTGATTCAATTGTAACATCTTTTTACATTTTTAATCCAATGGCATTTAACAAAAATCATTGCATTTTATGACACACCTTAAGGCTTCACCAATATTAGACACTGATGATGAAATTATGATTTAATTGCTCATTTCTTCCTTTTATAATAACACTACTTTGTTTGACAGCAGCAGAATTATCACTGTTAATAAGCTCAAGATAATAGTTTTCCTTTCTGCCTTTTGAAATGCAGGTTTATTTAATTGTCAAGTGCATTGACTCTTTTATGTGAACATTTATCTACATTTCAAACATGAGAATCTCACACTGGGAGTAACATTACCATGACCACAACGAAACTACTGGACTCATTGCTTTCTCCTTTTTTTTTTTTTACTTGTACAAATGGGTAAAATGATGTTTGTACTGTGAATGTGGTTGATTGACTGTATAGTTGTGTATAATTTAGATTATTATATTTATGTCAGCTGTCAGTTTCACATGTTTTTCTTTTTAATTCCAAACTGTGTTGATATTGTAGTATGCAATAGTGTGTGTACTTGGCTTACAGTTTGAAACCATTGGTGCTAGTTTGAACTGTGCCTGATCTTATTTATTATTTAGTAAAACACCACAAACAAATGGAAGAGTTGGTGCTGTACAGTGGAAACCTTGTAAAGCCACTTTGGCCTTTCTCATGTTAATACGCTGTATGATGATTATATGCTTTGTGTACACCGGACTGTAGAGCCCTTCTGCATACAGCTAAAGTGTGGAAGCAGCTTTCAGATATCCTTCCTGAGCAGTTTTAGTGAACAAGACACACTCACTTTTGTTTATTAGGTCTCCAGTCAAGAAAAGAGTGCTATATGAAATGTATCTATATATAAATATATAGTCTATATTGACATACAAAATATATAAGTAATAGGATGTATTGGTGCTTAACCTGTTAAAACGGGGGGCTTGGAGCCAAGGAGAGCAAAGCATTGCTACCTTAATAAATGTGGTGGTGGTGGTGGTGGTAACATGGCAGCAAAACCGCGCCTATATCATGTATATAGAGTACAGAGTAGTCTGTCCATGTTTGACACTGAGGTGCTATTGTGCAGAAGTCCAGCACACTGTTATCACACTTATTATACAAAAACTTGTTTCTCGTTTGTACTATCCCAACTTTTAAGAAACCTGGTGCTTATGCTCTTAACAGCTGAACTTTGAGCAATGTCGTCTTACTGGTGCATACTGAACTACTTGTCAAGCTTCTCACTTAGTGTTTTATTTTGTCTGTTTGGATGTCTTAAAGACAAGGCTACATCTTTACAAGGAAGCAAAATGCTCATTTGTCAGTTAGACAGTGATGTAAAGCACTTGGAAATATCTTTTGCGTGATTTTTGAGTAACAGAAGCCAAGTTTTTTTGTCCATCACAATATTGTACGTGTGACTTTTTCACTTGAAGTGTGTGCATGAGCAAAGACTAGACTCATTATCAAAGCTTTATAGAAAAAGTCCAGCAATGAGTCATTAAACTCATATGAGGAAACTATTAAAGACAATAGACCATGTGTTACCAGCACTGACAGGACTTTAATAATGTTTGTTAATATTATTTAATTTTTTTTATCCTTGGTGTTTGCATATATGGTTTCAATTGTTTCCAGTCATTACCTATTCTGACAGACCATGTGGTGCTCTCCTTCACTTAAAACAAGGAATTTGCAGCTATTAAATCCTGCTTCTCTTCCGCTGTTTGTCTGCAGGGCAAAGGTTTTAATCCCTCGCCTAAAGCAGCTTTTGATGGTCCTTGTTGACATTTGTGTCAGTGAGAATGACTTTTGGAAATCTAATCTTTTGAATTTAATATGGATTTTAATATGATTGTAACCAAGGCTGTTTACAAAATCCTGCCAGATGTTTTAACTCAGGAACTGCTTAGGTTGCTTGGAATTATATGAATTCCCCTTCTTCCATGCACAGTCTTCAGTACCATTAAAAAATGTTTATAACCCTGCTCAGGGCTAGTTCAATTCATATGATAGGCATTTTACAGCCATTTGATTCTATGCCATTTGCCTTTTCCTCAATAATTCTCACTGTCACAAACCAACTTTAGCAATCCCACGTCTATCGAGCTTTATAGGTTCTTGTGAGGATTGAGGTAACTGCTGCAGTGTATCCGGCATCTTCCTCATGTCACAGGATTAAGTCAGTTTGGTGAACTTGTACTTTGGACTATACACACTGGGGTACATCTGAGACCATAGTGTAGTATCTGAGTGGTAAAGCAGGGCTGGTTTGAGGTGCAATAATAACAGCAAACCTACTTTCTTAAATGCCCTGAAAACCTGTTACTGTTCGGTGTTGGTGCTTTTATCCTAAGATGTTATAATGACAAAATGGAATTATTTGTTTGTTTTTCTGCCTTTACAATAATAAATAAAATGTTTCTTACAAAGATTATAGTGCTGTGTGTTTCTTAGGAACATTTATCAGCTTATTGCAATATATTGAAAAAGGCTACATATTTGTGTAATGTAAAGATAGAAATGATTTAGATTAAATAGAAACAAAATTGAGTTGAAGTGAACTATTTTCATCTTCCTTGTATTGCAGCCTAGGGATGTTTTATAACATGTTTTGATACAAGGTGGATGCCATTTCAGGATAATGACCAATTCCTGCCATTCCTTGTGGAAGATTTGTGATGTTCAAGAATGAGCCTTGACTTTATCTCCTGGGATGCACCGGTGTATTGCAGCCTGAGGCCTTGACTTGTCTGCAAAACAGGACAGCAGCTGTGAGAGACTGGATGGGAGTGAAAGCCTTCAATTAAATCCACTGAACACATGATTTGTTATTGATTAAACTGGTACAATGTAGCACAGACAGTTGACTGCATTGTGCATTGAATTTGATAACTTTATATTTGGACTATTAGACTATTCAACTTCAAACTCCCCAAGCACAATATTAAGTATAAAGTATGTTGCCTCATAAATACATTCTGAATAAGCTTACCTAAGCATAAGAAAGTTGATGGTTTGATCATGGTTACTACTTGTGTCCTTGGGCCTATCTTGCCTATGTACAAATGTGCTGATAAGATGTGTGATTGGTGGTGATTGAAGGGGCTTAATGGGAATGAAAGGGGACTGATAAGAGATTTTGCTTGTGTGAAATTAGGATAGATTAATAATTAGAAAAATACAATGTTTCGCATCCTGCAGTGCAGAGAGAGACTCATGAGGACACCTTCTGAAGTTCCATTGTCCGTGCCACCTTTCCCTGGTCCCTCTCTCCTCTGCTTTATCTCAGACTCCCAGAGCAGAAGTATGGCAAACATATCCTTCCATAGTTTTGTATCCAACAAGGACACAATATTCCTATTTTGGTAGTGTGTTTTCCAGGTCATAGCGATGTGGATGTGGATGTGGGAGGATCAAATCAAGGGGCTTGGTCCATTTAAGACAAACCATTGAGGAAGACTGACCACAAAAGAGCACGATTACATTCACCACGATGGCCTACTATGCTGTGTTGATACTGGGGTGGACCAGTGTGTGCGCATCTCTCCAAGTATCTCACCATGATGGCAATACTGAAGGTACGTGGTCTTTCAGTTCATTTATATAAAAACGTAATCAACTCTAACACATATTTTACATCTATAGTAAAAGAAGAAATCAAAGATACCACAAACATCCTATCTCCCAACTCTGCATCTTCAGTTACCCCTCAAAATGCACCATGCTTTGTGGGTGACATCTTTGCAACACTGCGTGAAAGTTTGGAGGAAAATTATGAACTAAGAAGTGACAGTTTGGCCCATTTTGCAGTCTGCACAAGTAATTCCTTTATGTTTATGCAGCTGACGAAGGACGCAAGCAATGAAGACTTGAGTGTACTGAATCCAACTGAAGGTAATGGTTTAGTATGCAACAACATATATGACAGCAGGTAAACAATTTGTCAACACTTCTGAATAAAATAAGAGGTTTGGTGTCAAATTATGACGGCTAGATCATTGGATTGAAAATGTGGTCATAGCAGTCCAAATGTTCGCTTAAATTTAAAGTTGATTTCATCTACATTTTTCCCCTTTAAGATTACGTTTTTTCTTTGAACTACGGTAGTCACAGTGTTCTACTTTCAGATCTGGTCTAGTCCTGTTATAGCTGATGGTACATGAAAGACCAAATATTTTCTCAGGTGGTTGACCTACTTGTTGAGTAAAATTTAAGAACCACTGGGCAAAACTCCTGCTTGTTTGTGGTGTTTTGAGCGCCTATTTGCTTGGGTCAATCAATATCAGAAGTGAAATTACTAAATCAATTAATACATGTTTAATGAGTCAGAATATATGTGGCACTGGTGTCATAATATCTTATGCTGCTTCTCTGTCTGTAGTGCTGCTGCGAGTGGAAGAAGACAAGAGAGAGCTCATTTTGACCTTTGGTCCTATACAACGTCCTCAACCAATACTGAACCCGATATTGCTTCTGCCCTTTGAAAGCATCTTCAAAATGTCAGAGATTAGTTTTACCAGTCCACATTTAAATCCAAACACACAGGTAGTTACAACAACCAAGAAATAATTACTTTTGCCATCTATATTCTATTTACTTTTTGTTTCTTTTTATGTTTCAGACTCCCTGCATCTCAGAAGAGTCTAAATACATACTCCTCACAGTAAAAGATGGGCATTTTCCACCAACATGGAACATTAAAATACAAAAAATCTCCACTGACACAAGTAAGATGAGATTTTTCTTTTCTTAAAAAATGTTATTTGTACATATACTTTTCTGCTATTTACAGAGCAAGATCTTTTGGACGGTGGAGACATAAGTAGCACAATCAGCATCTTCGCACTTCTTCTTTTCTCAGCTCAAAAAGGAACTGATACCAGGTTGGTCATTGCCTTTGTCCTCCAAGTCACAAGTTAAAGTTTTTTTTTGTCGTCATCAATGAAAAAAAAAACACAGTCAATCGATTTTATATTTTTGTAAACTAATAATTCTATTTCGATTCTCAATTCCCAAGGTTGCACTGGTACCCTTTAGACCTGTCACAATAACACATTTTGAAGTGCGATATATTTCTGAAGACGATATAGATAAATGAATACTGAAACTAATTTATTCCACAGATGCGATAATCCTAAAATAGAATTATCTCCCAAAACTATTCTAAATGTATAATATAGTTAAAAACAGAAACTGACATAAAAAACAGGTGAATCAAACACTTAAGTAGTTAGTTTGTATTTGTAATGAGTCAAAGAAGTTTTTTATTCAACCCTCTATTATTCAAATCTAATCATAAAACAGGAAAAATAACAAAAACAGCAAAGAATTTCCTCACTAATGCAAAGAAAAAGTAGTAAAGACTATTTACTGACTACTCTTGGTCTGGAGCATTTCAAAACATTTAAACTTTTATTCATATGAAGCAGTTTTGTAGTTATTTGAAGGATAAGATAAAATAGCTGGATCTCATGTTTAATATGTTTTAACAAAATAAGTGCTATTCTCCATACCTACACTGAATCAGAACTGAGAAAGCTGGATCGGTGCATCCCTATTTCCAGTGATTCTTTTAATTTCTTTTTTCAGACCTCCAAATAACAATGATTTGTCCCACAACTCATTCCTCTGTGAGCTGAGACATTTCCTGGTGCAATCTTCTCCCCAAGATCATGATGCCCCACTTCTGAACCTGGAGCTGCTGCAGTCCTTGCCCTCTCAGCCTATTGGCCTGTCCACCAGTGAGTCTCTCCTGGCGGACCTCATCAACTCATCTTCCCCCACCATTCTGTCCTTCAACCAGGGCTCCATGCTCCATGCACACCACGAGGAGTTAGCCTTATCCCCCGCCCTGCTGGAAGAGCTCAGGCAGAGGCTGGAGCAAACACTGGGAGATGTGATGGAGGTGATGAAGGACAAGGAGGACAGCAGAGCAAGAGGAAGACTGGAGAGACTCAAGCAGCTCTCTGGATTTCCATTCGCCGATCATGTAGAAGGTGATGTATCCACTTTAAAATGTTTACATTTCAAAATTGCTACAAAACTGAAATTCAATTGGTTTAATTTTACACTATGGCCAAGTCCACAGCATCACAGAAACAGCTCAGAGGCTGTATTACCAAGGGGTTTCCCTGTGTTCAAAGACATACATCTATGGGGTCAATAGGTTACACCAATTGACTGTAATGAATAAATGTGATATCTGCTTTTGTCTATTGCTAATTACTGTCTCTAGGATGTACTTGGTTTAAGGTCCATTGTTGTTGGGGTTAAGTTGGCAACCCCTGACAGTGTTGACTATAGAATGAAATCATCACAACAATGTAAGCTTAAACCAGTGGTTCCCAAACTTTTTCTCTCAACAACCTCATATTTTACCAGTGGATCTTTTTCCTACATAAAGCTACTGTTTTATAACTAAAAATACAATTATTTACTGGTTAATAAAGATGCTACAAAACAGTTTATCATTCCCTGGGGACCCCTTAAGAATCTAGGGGTAATGGCTTAGTATGTGTCAGACTTAAAATATGAATGATGTGTTCCTCTACAGGTAAGCTTCAGTACCGTGCATTTCTGCTCTTCAAGGCCTTGCAGATGGCGAGACGTGCTTTCAATCCACCCAGAGGGCAGCGGTCCACCCGAGCAAATCCAGCCACCCACTCAGTCTGTGGGCTGAAGAGTCTCACTGTGTCCCTGGAGCGGTACCTCATTGGTCCCAGCACTGCCACTATAAACAACTGCCAGGGCTCATGCGCCTTCCCCATGAGCCGGACCAACAACCACGCCGTGCTGCTCAACTCCCACATTGAGAGCGGGAACACCAACGAGCGGGCACCCTGCTGCGTCCCTGTGGCCTACGACAAAATGGAGGTTGTGGACCTGGGGGAATTGGGGACTTCCCTCAAAATTGAACCAGACATGGTGGCTACAGATTGTGAATGCCGCTAAGTGAACTTACTGAACATTATTTTTGTCATTTTTGTCTATGTCTTACAAAGTACATAACCTTAATGATTAGCAAAAGTATTGTGTCAAGGCATTTTGTTTATTATAACAGAGCACAGGAAATCTTATAATTATAGACTACTCACAGTGGTTAGTTTTTGCATGACAATAAAGTACAGTAGTCCTGTATACAAGAAGTTATGTTTTAACTATGCCTACATAATATAAATGCATTTTAAACTAAATGTTTACTTAATGTTATATCTGTAATTTTCACTGGTTCATAAACATTTGGCACACATACGTCAGAACTTACAGATCAGTATATTCCATGAATCAAGGTTTAGCTTTGGGTTTCAGGATTGCTTTGTTGCCAATAGGCTTTTTTCGTCTTCTTATGGCACCCAGTTCTTCAGTTCCCCACCACGATTTTAGACTGTCCCACACAGAGAACTGAAACCACACACCAAATGATTTCTCTGTGCATGTTGTGTGAGATTAGCATATTATACCTGTATAATAGAGCACTTATGGTGCTTTACATATTAAAAATAATGTAATAATATATATTTTTTAAATGGTCTACCTGCAGTATTGATCCATCCTGCACACTTCCTATGAAAGACATTATGCCTGTCTCCTCGACAACATAATCCACAGCTTCTGTGAAAAAGTAATAACAGAAACCTTTGTAAACTCAATAATAAGAATATGATACAGTATATTCTTCAAATAATTTTGTAGTAAATAGATGTGATTGTGTAGAAGTTATTACCATGCAATTCGCTGACCCCTGAGCTCACGAGCAACACAACCAGTGCTAGAACTAAGCAGCGGTTCATAGTGAATCCTTTCCAGGGATTTTGGACCTCACTTAAGTCTGTGATTGACAGAATACGCTCATAGGACACTGTAAAGATAGAACAACAGGTCAACTCTCAGATTTGTAGTGATAATTCAAAAAAATCCATAGGCTATGTCTTACTTGTAGTATATCCAATGTTCCCTTTCCTTTGTACAGTCCTGTAAAATTGAGATTTATGGAAAAGTTTAGAAATGTCGAAGGTCTGTGTAAGGTGCAACCAACTGCATGCAGACTCTCAAATGTATGTCACGGTCATGAATAACCGTGTGACTAAAATAGACCATGTTCCTGAAACATGCTACACACTCTTTGCACTAGTCTCCCACTAAACACAGAAGGCACAAGTCACTTACTTACCTGATGTGAAATGTTTTCGATATACTGGATGTGCCTCTCTCGCTGCCTTTCACTGCCACTGGAGAAGGTGTTATAGGCCAAAGACCATGCAGTAGGCTTTAGGTCTGGTGACTGACAGGAACAGATGCAGGGTTACTGTATCCAAGAAGTGCTGCCTGGAGCCCATAACATGATACCAACATGGCTACTTGTTTTGATGTGGTATTTGACATCAAAATAATAAACAATACTACAATACTAGATTACACACTACAAATGAATTACTAATGGGCTGTGTATATGACTCTTTATCAATCACTGTTATTACATGTTCCAGTTTAATTTATTAGTTTATTATATATTGAATATTTGAGTTGCAGGTTTTGTCACTAAAAACCCATTCAAAATACAGACTTGCTGCAGGTGATCTTTAATGGACATCATTATAAGTTCAAGACAGTCAAACTACGGATCAGTCATTAACCCGTGCATACCCAGTAAGTTCACCAAGGTCATGTGTAGTTATAACTGGCAGAATTGGATAATAGCCCTGATCTATAATCCTCATCTGATCAGACCAGATTAAGTGCGTCATGTCCCCCAGCAGAGGCACGTCAGAGGGCCCGTGAGCAGGACACTCCCCTGTGTCAAATACTGCAGCCTGCCCCCGCTCTGCCCCAACACACGGCGACGAGGAGAGCACCGAGCGAGCATCTGCTACGGACGCTGGCCGGATGGTTAAATCCAACCTTCAGACGATTTTGAATAGTCATTGTTTTGTTAGAGAAAAAGAGAGAAATTTAACCGAGATGCCTGTTATCGAGCAGACAAGTAATAAAACAGAAAGTGAAAGGTATGTTATTGCTTTGGTGAAGATTAGCAATAGCCACGTTAGCATGCTAAACTATGTTGCGGCCTAGCCTCAATCCAGCAGCTATTTCCTGAAGCGTCTGACTTCGATGATCTTGTTTACATAACAAGCGTCACTTTCTAATTAACGTAATGTTAACATTACACTTTTGCTCACCACATCTCTATTAAACACAGTGATATCGTTATTATATAAATTACAGAAGACAAATGTTAGCTAACCAAGGGGGGAGATTACATAATGTTTACCGATGTCTCTAGCTGAATCGCTGATATTGCTGTGTCTCGTACTGTACTTTCTGTCTCCAACAATAGAGCCAGTAATATATTTTAAAATGGATCACCCAAAATGTGACCATTTACTGAGATGACAATTAATGAGACCCTTTGATTAACACGAGTCATTTCTGTGATCAAGTGTTTAGCTCACGGTTAGCGGAGTCTTTAGGACAATGACGCACGTTGACTACAATGTATTTATAGCAATGTACACTTACTAATCAAACACATTTAATGTGTCTTTCACGAATGATTTTATAATCGCTTAAAAATGACCATAGGGGAGAAATAGTTTAGCTAGATTTGTTTTCCCCTGATTCGGTTTCCCCTGATTAAGGCGTCATCGGGCCTTGAAACTTTATAGCAAAGGCTTTAACTATTAAAGCCTTTCTCATGGCCGTGTCTTCTCGCGTACAAAGCGACCTTTGGCTCAAATTCAACAAACAAGTCTTTTGTCTGTTTGTGTTGTTCCCTTTTTATCTTACAACACTACTGACATTGTTGAGATCGTTTATGTTTTTAATAGATTGAAATAGCCAACGTGACTCCCACAAAAGCGTTGTTCTTTTTAAATACTGGTGTTTTGACAGCATTTTATGCAGGTTGTTTATCTTGTCATATAGCTACTGTTCAGTGCACTCATAGGAAATTTCCACTCCTCTGTGAAGGGGGAGGCATGGGTAGTTTTGAGACATGTGTTAACATATTGTACCCTAGAGGGCTTTTTGACAGGCCAGAAATGCCTCTTTTACCATTTGTGGACCAACCTTCATTCTAAATGTTTTTTGTTAAACCGACTACATATCAAAACGTCTTGCTTTTTTATAGTCTCCTATTGTTATTTCGTCCTCTAGAGGTTCTATGGTTGTTTTTATAAGATATTTATTCATGGTAGGCTAGTCTTACGCAACTCAAGACTCATCGCTCATGTGAGCAGCACAGCAGATGTTTTATTAACCGAGGCAACCTGAGTGAGTCTTCATTGTGTGTGCTGCTAGTCACTATTCCCAAGGTACTTTTGGTTAAAGAATACAGTATAGGTATCCATTCTCTTTGAAGTGAAAATGCTATAGCAGCATGTAGGTTTCATTGCATTAACATTAGTGTGACTCTAAAGATCTTAAGAAAAGATGTACCCTATGTGTTTTCAGCACATATGTTCTGCATATAACAGACCAGTGGTACTTGCGTAAGTGCAAGTGTGTGCTCTATGGCTCCTAATGGGTTTTGTTCCCTGTAGGCGCTCTAAGAATTGGCTTAAATTGAACACTGAAAATGTATGCAGCATTGCACACTGACATTTGCAGAACAAACTGGATCTTTCCCAGTGCACTGTTTATCCTAATAAACAAATAGTGAGGAGTAGGCTAATGGTCATACAAGTTTGCTTACTTTAGCAGCTTAGGTCATGTAACATGCGTAAACTCAAATATCAGAACTTTGTTTGAGCTAGTTTACAGTCAGTAGTAAAAGGAATTTCTTAAATATATTTTAGTTTTGATCAGTCCAAGCAAGTGCCCCATTTAAAACCTTTTAATATTTAACATCTAGCTAACATTCAGTGAACTTCTTTGGGCAATTATTTTGCTGCCTTGTCATCTGAATCACACTAGGGTTTAATCTTTAGCTAGGCTGGTGCCAAATGTTACATTGTTGTTATCAGAAGTCATGTTGATGTGTCTTATATTTTAAAAGCCTTCTTTTGTGTGTGCTTCTACAGTATCTCCAACCCCCGGAGGTGCTCTCGCTGTTGCAGTAACCCGTGTCCAGGGCCTCTGTGGTGCTCCTGATGCCCCTCTCCCACCCCTGAAGATCCCAGGTGGGCGAGGGAATGACCAGCGGGATCACAATCTTTCAGCTAAGCTATTCTACTCTGTAAGTTGCATGTATTTTGTGTTACTTTGTTCACAAAATTCAGTGGTTGCTGAACATATGTAATTGTATGTATGTAATTTTCCACATAATCGAGAAGAGGAAATGTGTTAGTAGCCACCCATTAAATGTTGAAAGTTACACAATTTTTTAGACATGTGACATTGTGAAATAAAAGCATGCATCCCTTAATCATGTAAATTTGAGTTAAAGCTTTGTTTTCTTTTATTTAGATTTGTACATGGGTTTTGACAACAACAACAAAAAACAGACACAAAAAAGTGTCAACTTACCCACTCTCTTTTCCAGATCTTAGAGTTATCACTAGACTGCCTGAAGATTTTTCCTTTTGTTAAATTTATTGCCAACCTTTTTCAGTGTGATGCATGAGATTGTTCAGGCCTGACTATACCTTATGTGAATCAGACTTTTTATGACCTGAACCTGATATTTTTACTTTTATTTTACAGCGTCACATGTTCAGATGTGTGGTTTCCTGTTTGCAGCAGCTGCACAGTTGTGTTCATTGTGACATTGCTTGATGCAGTTTTTGTTGTACAAATTTCTTTAACATTTTTTTTTACATGTTTAAGATCATAATTTTGTCTTTCCTAGGATGCTCAATTGCTAGTTCTTGAAGAGCCCCCTCCTGCTAATAGCAGAGTGCGCTTTTTGCTTTTTGAGCCTAAACGCTCAGAAGGCAAGCACAGCGTGTGGAGGGCAGCGCTGAAGGGAGGGAACCTCTACGTCGAAATCCCTCCTGGAGCATTGCCCGAGGGCAGCAAAGACGGGTCAGTCTCAATGTTCAAAGCATTTAATGTGGCGTTTTAACTGAATATTTGACAACGAAATTTCCAACAGTGTTGTGTATTGTCACTTAAAAGATATTTGCGGTTTGTTTTCTCAGATTTGCTCTTCTGCTGGAATTTGCTGAAGTGCAACTACAAGCCGACCACGTGTTCATCTGCTTTCACAAGAATCGCGATGACCGAGGTTGGATTTGACAATTTGTTCATCAACGAATACTCACATTTGTAATCATTGTCCATTTGTTACAGTAATGTATACTAATAATTACTGTTTGTCTATCTCTGCAGCATCTCTTTTGCGAACATTCAGTTTCCTGGGCTTTGAGATTGTGAGACCGGGCCATTCCCTCGTCCCCTCCCGCCCTGACGCTTTCTTCATGGCTTACAGCATTGAGCGAGATTCCTCATCTGATGACGATTAAAACCTGCGCAATTTGTGTTTCTTCTTCTGTATCCATAGCTGTGCATCTGTTTAATTTTGAGCATAATCTTAAGTTTAGTGCGGTTGAGGTTTCCAGGTTTTCTTGTGTGTACCTATTAACCTGCCTTTGTGCTGGTTTTTAAAGATCTTTGCACTAGGGTAAGATGTTAATATACCAAGAGTGTCAAAGCAAGGTCTCTTAAAATTTCTTGGCAATGCTTCCTCACCACTGTCTCACTTTCCTCAGTTCATAATGCCGTTTATATACCTTCCCCCAAACACTCCACCATCATCTCTGTAATGTAAGATCTATGGTTAATATCTGCTTCATTTACTTACCACACAAATGGATGTCTTACAGTAGGTTACCTTTGATTTGCTTGTTTATATCAAACTTATCTTTTTTAAATGTGTGCATGATTTACATTTATTTTGATTCACTTGATAGAAATGTGCATGTTGTAACTGTACCTATTAAAAGTGCTCCCCTAAGTCACCTTCTCCAGTATTTTGTTCTCTTTAGCTAATTAGGTTGTAGTGTTCTGAGCACTGGTCTTGTACTTGGCTGTTGGATAACTCTGTGGAGATTAAGAGCTCGTCCAGATTTAGTTAAGTAATAGTGTTAACTGCTCTTTATTTCAATGTGTACTATGTAAGGGCATGCCACCTGCAGATGGCATATTCACACCTAAAAAGTGCAACTTTAACTCTGAAATTGAATTTACTCTGTTACCAAGTGCAAGGTTATTGTGCCAATAGACTTCATTCCTTTGAGGTCCTATAAGTTTCTGACCATCTGAATCTGAGAACCAGGAATTGTACTTTTATTTTCTATGCATGTTTGAGTAATAATGCTTATTTTACTCTACCCCTCCAGAGCTTAAAACAAACACAGAGAAAGCTTTACAGGAGCTTTATTGAACATTATTCATTCTTCAGCACAGACAGAACACTTAATTGGCAAGGTTAAATGTGATTATTAGCTGAGGGGCTGGAGAAGAGATGAGTGACAGCCTCCATGCATATCATACATATTTGTTAGTACCAGTGACTAGAAAGAAACCACCAATGGGGGCTATGTTGATGACGATCTTTTTGTACTTTACCTTGAGTGGGGTATGTCACTGACTAGCTCAGTGGTCAATTTACAACATGGAGATAACCATTAGTGTTAAGCAGTTTATTTGTGACTTAAGAACAGCTATAATACACTAGTACTGTGTCTTTTTTTCAGTATTCAACAATAAATAACAACTGATCATATTTACTGCTCTAAAGCGCAGACAGACTTTTCTACATCAGCTACCTCTGTGGCCATAGATGCCTTGGGGCTAAATGATAGACATGTGTTATTTTGGGCCAAAGGCCTCTTTATAAGTCACACACATTCACAAAGACAAGGTAGCTGAAGTGTCTTGTCCACGACACTGTGACAGTACAGGGCTTTCACCCATGTACTCAAAACTGCCAACTTTCGGGTACATGGGTGAGTGCCTCTGCTGAATAGGCCTCTGCCTTGATTGGGTCCAACTTAATCACTGGAATAACAACAATGGCTTATTCACAATACAGACAGGAACTAGATAGAAGGCGTTAATTCGAGCCGAGCTGTTTCATTTACCACAGTCTGCGGTTCAGCGAATGCTACATACTGCAGACACAGGATGTCCTCCCATTCTAGAGCTGTCTGATCCACGCCTTTCTCTGCCAACTTCATCACTAACAGTGCTCTCTTCACTGCCAGCCAGCTGTGCGCTGTGGACATCCCAATATGTTTTATCAATGGGGCCACAGGGCCCCAGAGAACCACCTGTAACAGACCTGTCATGTCATCTATATTAAGACCACTGCTGTTGTCTTTAAGCTGAGAAGCAAGGTATATCAGAGCATTCCTGTATGTGGACATATACAGTGCAGCCAGGCCCTTGTGTACATTCAGACAATATTTAATTAAATCTCCAATATTGGCTTTGACTGGGACAAGTGACTGGGAGGCAGGAGACCCAGACATCTGAGAGGAAATTACCACACGGGGGCAACCTTGAGTCTCCCATAAAATTTGTATGTAGCCCCTTTGGCCTGTCTCAGTAAGATTGTAAATAGCTGTTTTTGCATGTGATAACTCAGATTTTGTCTTATTTATGTCTGGCCACACCAATAAGATATCTTGTGGTATTAGCCCGGGGGAACAAATGTCATTTTTGTATACATGTTGTGTACCTTGTAGAATTTGCAGTAACAAAAAGCATACACGTTTGTCATACAATACACAGTCCATATTCTGCATAGACTGGCTCTCCTGAACAAAGTCCTCCAGCGTAGCCACAGGGAGGTCTCGCTCTATGGCCACACAATGACCTTTCCATAGCAGATGCTGAACCGTTGACAAAAGCCTCCTCCCTGAGTAATTGGCATAATCATTGCTGCCCCCACATGACGATGTTGCAGCAGTACAGCCATGGACGGAAGATGAATTAACAAATTCTGTTTTAATGCAGGAATCCATCATATTGCTGGTTGCCTGGAAGTGGGCCACAACATGTTTCACGTTAACATGCGCAGGCTGCGGTTTGGTGTAGGTAGAAGCAGACAGCTCTGTTTGCGTGCTTATCTGAAAAAACAAACGACAACAGCAGAAAACCACCACATTAACGAGATCTGAAAGATACATTTTGTGCTTAGAACTTCTATCACCTAATGAAAAGAGGAAGCAACTACCACCACGATGCTACAGATAAGCAGCAGTGTGCATGTCCTTTTGTTCTCACAGCTGAATAAATGGTTGGTTCATTAAACACAAATGTTGTAGTTTGTATCTAACACCAACAAAAATAGAAAAAAAAAATTTCTACAATGTATGCTTCAAAATCTGTTCTCATTTAACCATTAGAGATCAAATGTGTACAAACAGGACTGCAAGCTTACCCTCAGGCCAAGTGTCCTCCCTGGGAACTTGGGGCTGTGCACAGAGTAGTACATTTTTCCTGCAATTATCTTTGGCTCACTGCCTGCATCCAACAAGAAGTCCTGTGGCTGATATGAAGTGACTGGTTTCTCTGATAGCTCTTCTTTTAATAGCATGTTAGCCTCCATTTTTTTGGCCATATCTCTAAGAAATAGCAGGTGGCGATGCTGTACAGTTTTGGATACTGCATCCTGGTCTTCGAAACTCACAAAGAAGTTGACCAAATGTTCATCTGAGGTGTTAAAGGACAGCTGGGACAGGGGCAGTAGGGGAGCAGTGCTGCTCTTGTTGGCTACTCTGAACCCTGAAGGCTCTTTACTGAAGAGTGTGTCTCGCACAGGAGTGAGCATGTACAAGGGATTGTCAAAATTGTGAGAATGCATTTGAAGAGGAGGGCCAGAGGACAGGGTTGATAATGGAGGAACATGGTCGGCCGGCAGGGAAAGGGTCCGTGCTAATCTTTTCTTTGGAACAGGTGGAGGGGTGCCATCTGACAGGAACCTCATGTGGTGTTTTACAGACTCTATGGAATCAAAGAGAGGAAAAATATTACCATGACAGAGAAAAAAACAATACAGCTAAAAACTATACTAAACCACTAATAAAACAAAACGTAATTTAAACAAATGATGCAAGACTCAATAAGTTCAATTTAACTTCTTGATGACCATTTGAAAACAATATGACATGTTGAGAATAAACACATACAAGCCAGTTGCAGATGCAGAACTATACACTTTTAGGTATTCATCACATGAGATTGTGTTTTTTATGACAATTATATATATTTATAGATTTAGTGGTTGATAATTTAGTGGGAGATTTGGCTACAGTTGACAATGTAAGGAACTATAGCTTTCGATTTTTGAAAGAAAATTAGCTGCTTCCCCTCTTTACTTCTTAGGAAGTAAAGCAGTTTAAGAGCAGCAGATAGTGACTTTAATTATGTTAAAACCAGATGGTAACAACTATTATTAAATGAAACCATATACCCAAGTCTTGATGTATGGGGCATGAGGCTGCATGACAATCAGTGGATGCAAAGACATCATTAAGTGTGTAGTTGGGCGACTGGAGTCCAGGGCTGAACAGGGCACTGTCAGAACTCACACTTGATCCTCTGTTTGACTGGCTTCTTTGCCTGTAAACAAAAGGAAAGAAAATAAAAATACAAAATGTGCACTGTGTAAATTAGAACAATCAATTAACAATGAACAATGAGCAGTGAGTGAGGGTACTGGTGAGTGACTATTGTCCTCTTAGGCACAGGTCCTATAATGCAATACTAAGGCTCTAGCTCCAGTACTGGAATATACATGAATATCTTCTTGTTTAACTACTACTGATTTCTCCAACTCCTCATTCCTTCAACTCATCCTGTATCCAATTTAGTAGAAAACAGCTTCTGCTAGTTCCTCTTAGAAGCATTATAACATTTTTCTTACCTGTTATGTTTGACTGGCAAAGCTGGAGGGTGACCCCCTGTTTGGTTTAAACAGCCTGACTCCATTAAAACACAGTGGAATACTAGACTGCTTGTTCACTTTAAGTCCTTGGCGCATGTGAAGCAACCAGGTGGCCTACTGTGCTCTTTCGCATGTACTTCCTGTATGCATGGTTACCATAACCCCTCCCTGTTTTTGTATCTTTTTGTGCATGCTGAATTTTCATAGAACCTAGAGTTCTTATCTTGTCTCTCAAGCTTTGTGATTCGCATTTGAGGTTGTAACCGGAAGTTTCTGCTCTGAGGGTTGAGCCATTTTGAGTTATAACCTCAATTTGGCATAATAGAAAAGAGCAGTTAGCAACCACAAAAACAGTGCACACAGTGCTGAGCAAATAGCTGAGTGATGCAATTTTGAGTCATAAAGTTTCTAAAATCAACCCGTATTAAAGGGAACTCCATGTATCTCCATTTATCAGTAATTCAAATAGAAACACAGCAGCTTCCATGGCCCTACTTGGTTATATGCCGGCTGGCTAAGGGAATAAAAGAGTGTAAGTGAGAATATAGTTTTTTGCATTTCCTCCACTTCCTACTGACTTGACTGTATTGAATCTATACACAGTTTGTGCTTCAGTTGAATCTGTGTACTTTTTTGTAATTTTCTGAAGTTCATCTCACTGAACACACAATTTTTGATATCCTCATCTTCAACATTTATTATTGTTTTTATTTAACTCCCACGTGTCCATCTGTGATCTCATTATCTTTGGGCAGCCAATATGTGTGTTGTTCAGTAGAGGGCTTTTACTTGAAGAGGCCCATCCATGACTCACTCCAATTATCCAAGTATAGGCTAAAAACTCAAGGGTCAGGGTCACAAAAAACAACCCCTACATTTAAAAACATGCCTTTTTGTGTGTTAAATTTATTATCAAAATGTTATAAAAATAGTATTTCCTATCAAGAATAAACAGATACAATTCATTTATTAGTGCATACTATTAATATTAGTGTGATTGGATGAAAACAACTCTTACAGTTGTTACATCACTGTCCGGTCTACTCAATTAATCTCCAGTCATAATGATATTCACTTATTACTATTAGTGAGTGGGAGGCAGCTATGAACAGGCACAATGGTTTGAGCATCATTACAAGAACCTCTTAAAATTCTGTGCTTCTCGTCGAGTGTCCATGTGCCATGATTCATTAACTTAAACACATAGGTGATATTATGTTGTAAAATGATGATCTCTTTTATAGTTTACTTGTGAATTACATCAACATATAACTGTTTTTAATGTAAGGGTAGGAGACCCCACTACACAACACAATGTATGTTTTATGATATATATTTTATTATTCTATAGAACACTGTAGCTTATTAAAAACAAATACTTGCATAAAGTGAATCATTTGAACTAAGATGAGCATTAACCAAAAACATTCGGACACCAGCAGCATTATAATTCCTGATAAAGTCTATCGGTTGCGGGTGGTGAGATGTTTTCTTATAATCTCACGGAAGCGGCTTTTAAACTTGCCATCTGTGTGAGCCGCAGTGACAAAGCAGGAAGCAGAGGAGGTACAGAGAGTCTGAACGTCTCCCTTTGCTAATCTTTCTTTAGACACAGCTGAATCTTTGGACAGTCTGTGCCTGAATGCAGACAGGGGGGATGGGTTGGTGGTAACATCTCCAGTCCTTCTTAGAGGAGCTTTGCTGTAGCTGCAGCTCTCCTCGTCCTTATTGCGTCGCAGACCAGCCTGACAGAGCAGGGCCTCTTCACTGGCCATCTGGGGGCTCTGGCTCAGGGTGATGAAGCCATAAGGTGTGGTGACTTTGGGCAGGTGTGGTAGGGAGAGTGCCGCCCTGCTCGCTGGATCCAGGCCCTGGTGGTCTCCTGTGTGAGCAGATGGGAGAGAACCATCCCTGTGCAGCAAAAACCTCCTCTGGTTCAAGGGGTCAGAAACGCTGCGCTCGGCCTTACGCTCAGACAGACTAAGGCCGGAAGAGGACAGACTGGAGCAGGCTGCTGATGCTGGTAGATCCTGTTCAGAGCTCCCATAGCCCTCACTCTCCTCCTCATCTCCTCTGGTGGTGTCCAAAGACCTGAGGCTGCTGATTATGGACAGATTGGGTATAGTGAACTGAGGGATGCTGTCAGGTGTCAAGATGTTTGGAAAGGAGTTCTCCAAGCTGGTCTGGGAGTCTGAGCCTAAAGAGCATCCAAACAGCTTATTGTTGTTGGCCCAGAGCAGCGCCCGGATCCCTGCACTGCTGTGTCTGCGAGCTGCAAAGAAATCCTCTGAAGGAACAGCCTTGGCCCGACTGCTGATTGCCCCAATGCTAAATGTCCTGGTCACTGTGTTCCTCTCCATCTCTGAGTCCATTTAGGCTGAGTCAGTGTTTGTTGTAGCAGAGTCGCATGGCATAAAGCTTTTATAGTGTTTGGGGAAAGTAAATTTGGTCTTTCCTGTGCATCACTACATACGCATTTATGACGAAAAGAAATTCCGGAAATTATCTCTAATTAGAGAGCTAGGCTAAGAGGGTCAATGATGGGCCTGTTTTTAGATCTATTCATATGGTAACCAGAGCAGCAAGAGCATCTCCAGGCCACAGAAAGCCTGTGCTGCTTTGTTTTGAAATGCATTGTTGAGAGACGTCACTCAAGAGTTCAGCATCTTGAGGGAGGCCTACTGTTATTTAGGAAAAATATATAGTTTAGAATTCTGATATTCTTGAATTCCTCTCAATTAAAATATGTATAAGAGTTATTAATTTAGCTATAAGCTGTATAAAAATATTTAGCTGTTGCCTATTTTCAAATCAGTTTTATCGACATGACTTTTAGCCCTGGCTACGTTGGTTTGCGATACATCTAATCTTTGTATAGCACATTTTACCAACAGTCCCCAAAGTGCTGCACAGAGTCGGCACAATATAAATACACACATTGAATAAAATATAGCATAAAAATCTTAATTGCTGTTTGATTGAATTAAATAAAAAACAAATCAAATGTTGTATTTGGCGCTATATAGTTACGTAGGTTAATTGGCCGCATCTGATTGGACAAGAGTCATTGCGCCAGGTGCGTTTCTCCGCGCTCTTTGGCTGCTCTGAGTATAGCTGGGGGTACTTTAGCCTCCCCAAACTTTCTATTGTAGTGTGACTGCTCATCCAATTCACAGCAATCCGGCTGGCTTCTCAGGCTTCAGTGTAAAAACATGACTACCGAGATCCGCAAAGACGCCAAGACGGACCCAGCCCAAAGTGACGAGGTAAACCACGGATCACTGTTAGTCAGCGCCACGTGTTGATGTGGTTGGCTAGGCTGCACGAGGTTAAAAGTGCCTATTGATCTTATCAATTGCTTTTAACTCCAAATAAACTTTTGGTTTATTTGTAGAAGAGAATCGTTAAAAGAGATGGAGTGCTTCGCTCCATGCTTCGCGGTCTTTTCTGGCCTTTCGGCATCGTGGTGTGTAACTACCTTATTGCAAAAGTCTTTAATATTTGCACTAAATTCTATAAATGCGTGGGTTCTATCTTTTTTAGGTGCGTGCTTACCGTGGGTTCTGGTGGGTGCTCGGGTACAGGCAACCCAAAGAGACAATTCTGGGTAATCCCCAGCAGGTCTCCAGTCCGGGCCGCCAGAGCCTCACGGGCCGCAAACGCCTGCACCGGGTGACCCGCGTGCTGCTGTCGGTCTTGCCCCGCTGGCTGCAGAGCGCCCTCGGATATCCTGTGTCGACCAGCATCGGCCGCTGCCTCTCGCCAGGTATCTTCATAATGACAACCCTCAGTCAGATCGGCGTGTGTCAAACTAAAAGGGAAAGTTTTTTTTTTAGGAAAGTGGGAATACCTTGCGCAAATGGTTAAAAAATGCGTTGCTCACAGATTGTTGGAAATGGTGAACTTACATTTGAATTACGGTTGGTGTAAACACTTCTGTGAAGGAAAATCCCCAGTTTTACGTTTTACTAAGGACACCACTGGGCAGCAGTGGCAACCATACTTCACATCATTCCTCTAATTTTTATTACATTTTTGTTAAATGACCTTCTGAAATGTTACAAGTGGCCAGCAATTTATTAGTATAAATACATTTTAAATTTTGCTTGTAATTTCTTTTGTCTGTATTCTATTTAAAATTTTTAGTTCTGGACCATTTTTAGTTCTGTGTGCACACTCAAGACTTTCCTTTGCTTTCAGAAGTGAGAGTTTCTCCTACAAAGCCCTGTGGCAAAGGCAGCAAGAGAAAGCAGGATGAGCTGGATGAAGATGATGATTTGGAGGAAGAGGAGCATCCAACCTGGGTGGAGGCCCTTAACCAGGAATGTGCCGATGATGAAGGCCCAGAACAAGACCCTGACTATGAGGTTGGAAATCTTGCATTAAAAATACTTTCCAAAATTTGCCTGTCCTTTCATGTGAAACCTGTTATCAAGCCTAAAATTCCCCTCAGCCCAGCACAGTAGAGACTGCCAGTGAAGAGTATTGCTCACACAACAACACAGAGGATGACATTGAAGCTGAAAAGGGTGTTGTTGTTATAAAAGATGTTAATACGGTAAAGACTGATGCCAATGCTCAACTGCATGTCTTGGATATCATCTAATGTTTTGTTTTATTAACAGGAACTGACTCCTGCTCAACTTGAAGGTTCAAATCCTGCTGTTTAAATGTTTTTGCTGTACATTGTCTGTTTTTTGTAAGTTATAGATTTGAAACTTAATAAATTTTCAATACCTACTTCCTCTTGTCTTTATCCACAAGATGGCAGCATATGCCATATTGATGAATGTTTGGGTAGTAGCTTTAGGCATTCCATTAGCTAGTTTCATTTTAGAGTATGACTTGTGTCTTGTAAATGTTTCTAAAAGTTTAGCATTGTAGTTCTAGACTCTTAAATGACACGCCGCTAGAACTTACTAGAGTCTACTATTGGCCTTTCTCAAGGATAAAGGATTTTCTCATTTCCTCTGCCTACAGGGGCAAGTGTAGGTGAGCTGCTAGCATGAAGTGCCAGACATGACACTGTCTAGTAGACTGACCCAGACACAGGTAAGGCTAATGTGCATTTAAAGTAGTCAGCTCATCAAGTTTGCTTTAAACTATCTTTTTTTTGTATTATTTGAAATCATAGCCAATCAGTATCAATAAAATTCTATATTTGTGTGCATATAGGACTAAAGCAGTATACCTCAGTATGGCCTCTGGGGGATCTGATGGCTGTCTGACTGAAGGGTAGACTGCAGCTTAGTCTAAGCAGCCACAGAGCGCGCCGACCTCTATCTTCACTGTTTGTAGTCAGCTGGAGACCGCTTTCAAACCCACAGCTTTGCCTTTGCCTTTCAACTGCAAGGTGAAAAGTGTAGATGGTGGTGCACTATATATTTCATCCCCACTCCCCGGTGTGCTATAAAACAAAAGCTTCCTGGAGTATGCACTATAGCAGTGCAATAATAGTGATAATACTGTTTTGAGTGTGATTTGTTGAGATCACTGTTGATGGAAAGTCTTTTTGTGGCAATCTGCACAGTTTTCATTACTGTGACTTTAGTTTTTTCATTTTGCACATTTACTTGTAGCACTGATGCGCAGAAAAGGGCTGCACAGTATGTACGTTTTTCAGAAGTATCTTGACTTATGAGACACTTCATTGGAAATTTGTCCCCTACATTTGACCCATCCTTTAATGCCTTTGGGAGAACTGCCAGGAGCAGTGGTGACTGGTGACAGGCTCGCTCAGGATTACAGTAACTGCAGAGTTTGGCCTATTGTGCATGTTGTTTGACTGAGTTAATTGCAAAATTGATGTTATTTGAAGCATTTTTTGACTCCTTTCAAGTTCAATTTATTAATGCCTAAAAAACAATCAACACAATCTGATTGTGTCAGTGAACCATACATCAATATTTTGTGCAACCAACTTTTTTACTTGTGTCAAAAATATTTTTGATCTATTTAAAAATGTGGTGATTTAGTCGAAAGAATATTGCTTGGAATTGATGAAATGGCACAATTAGACACTTGTATGCAGCACAGGACTCACTGATCATCACCTTATCTTTGAGAAAAATACTGTTACATTACACCGAGGACCTTGTGGTGACATTTGCTTATTTTTGCCTCAAATGAATGGCAGCAGGTGCAGGTAGCTCTGTGGGCCTCCAGTCTGACCTGCAGTATATTATCCCCTACATTACAATGTGTTTGTGAAATGCCAGCAAACCAAAAACCTGCGCCCCTCCTCGCTCCCCTGCTATAACCTTTTTCACTGCCCTGTATATAGACAGACTGTACTGTGGCTCCTGCCGAAAGCAATGCAATGTGATTTGGTTTACCTCCAGCCTAACGACCAGCTGTCCCCATAGACTGAGAGAGCATCCATCATCGTCTGGGAAGTGGTGCGGGAAAATGGGCATGACAAATAGGTAGACAGACGGAGGCTTTAGATAGTCATGTGCTTTTGGATGTATGAGAATTTATAAGTTTAAGAGAGAAAAGGTCTAGTTTTAGCTTCTTGTTTTAAAGTTCATGTCAGACAAAGCTATCCCTAATATTTTAGTATGAACTATTAAGATTTGTACTTATTTATTGTTATTATTAGTAATGTCATGACTGATTCATGAATAAGGGATCATCATTTTGGTCTTTCTGTTAAAAACTGATTTCTAGATACTAATCTAATCTATTAAACTACTTCTATTATTTTAGGTAGAAATTATCTTCCATTGTATAATTTATTTTAAATAAAATTTGAAAGGTTAATATCGCGACAACACTAGTTACTGGTGAATCAAAATTGTTACTATATACTGCAGTACAATTTGACACTGATGTTGTATTACCTCAGTTTTAAACACCCTTTGTTATGAGCACAAAACTTTCCTAGAGTCCGTTTGTGAAAGAAGTGTTGCATTGGGATCGCTTCTTTTTTGGTTGTGAATCATGAAGCTGCAGTCAGATACACTTTTCTAAGGCTACACTGTATTTGGCACAGAGATGCAGATCAATCCCACAGACTCTGAGGCTTGGCTGCCATTTGCGGTGTGATTGTCCTTGTCCGCTTAGAGGTCGGTAACACCAAAGTTTATAAGTGCAAAGTCTGCCCCTGTCGATGGCAGTAAGTGAATCTATTTACACATTTATGATGCTATTCTCAGCCACGGCACAGACACAGTGTTTACACAGTGTCGGAAAGAGCTGAGGCACGCAAATAAACAGGACAATCGAGACATTTCCAAACACACCTTTTATTTTTAGTTTCTATACTTGGACATGCTTATCAATATGGAATAGCGTGACACTTCAGTGCGTGGTCTCATTTTGATTAGTAGCTACACCACTAAATTTGACATCTCATTGGTTTCAGTGGTGTTGTATTCAAGTTTTTGTATTGCGTATTTATACAAACATTTCTTTGAATGTAATCCATGGGTCAGAGATCGGTGGGTCGATATTTCGGGCTGATATTCGCACTTTTAATCGTATCTGCAGCATTGGCCAAAATTTAGGTTTAGCTAACCTGTTGCTCAGTATACTTAAAGCTTTATTTTGAGCACTTTATTGTGAAAAGGGCACTGCACAGAATGTGACTACGCTGTTCTCTCATCCAGTTTGCATAAAAATGGGTTAGCATGGGTTTGTAGTAATTTAAATTGCATAATTTGGCAGAAATTTTCAAAATCAGCCCTGCACCTTAACATAAAAAAATATCAGCAAACCTTATCGGCTATCATTCTCTCTGGATTCTAAATCGTCGTCGGCCATAAAAAAAACAAACAAAAAAAAAACACATCAGTTGACTTCTAATCAATACCAGTCAATACCAAATACTGATAATCTGTCACAGACAAGGTGAGTTTCTCTGCACAAATAAAGATGTGTTGAAGGTATTGAAGTGAAACTTGATGTGGTGAAGTGTTTCTCTGGTACTCTCAGTAGTGTAGTCTAAATCTGTCAATGCTTTCATCATGACTCGAGCTAAGATGAGCAACTGCCAAAAGCTGCAAAATACATTTGGATTCAAAACACTTTGTGACAGATATCTGTGTTAATATATGCATAGTAGTAAAGAGTGTGCAATTGTGGCAAGATCTTCCTTGAAATTGGGTTTTATCTCAAAATGATTGTTGGTTCAATTCAAAATAAACCACTGCCTAGTAAATGTGTAAAAACAATAAACATTAAACAATACTTTTTTTTCTCTGGTGTATATATCTAACATTGAAATTCATAACTGAGAGAAAGTTTTCTAACCTAGCCACAAAACTCATGTGTCAGCAGCAGCACCTCAAAGCTCTGGCAGCAGGTACTGTTCCTGAATATATGATCTATAGACTCTTCTGTCTCAAGCTGCACTGACAGGTCAGCTCATCATCAGATTTCTATTGTATCACTGGATTTCCACATTGTTATAGAGCATACAGAAAATTTTTTTTTTCCACTTTGCCTTACACAAGATCAGGTGTGTCATACTAGATGCAAAATCTGAATTACATATGTTATTGAAGGATCATTGTTATTTTGGTTCTATGGAACGCACAACAGGGATTTATATTTCCCAAGTGTAGAAAGGAAGGCAGCTGCTTTCGCAAACTCTGCCAACAGTTCGCCCACCTGCTCACAACTGCTTCGAAAGTTAATATTAACAGTCTCTCCAAGATTGATTTATGGGCCTTCCACGTTCAAATCATTTTGTGGTTTATAACAGATTTCCAGTGTTCTTTGTTATCGTTATGGGAAGTATTCAAACCATTCAAATGCTCTACTCTGTCACTTCCTCCTCTGAATGAGTGGTGTAAATATATTAAAATAAATTATGCAGTGACACATTCACAACCAAGATGTGGCAAAGAAACACATATATTGCATTTGAAAAAGTCACTCTGTAGCAGATAATTTGGAAATGCTTTCAGCAAAATGGTAGGCAACTTGATTAGGACTCTTGTCTAATAAAGTCTGTGTATGTACTATATTTTGTGTTATTTCCTGTTGCAGTACACAGGCATATATTTCATACACAGAAAAGGAAAGATTGAATAGACCCCCAAAATGTGACAAGTATCTTCAACACTATATTAGGTGAGAAGTATATATTGTCTTAAATGTCATGGCAAAACTGCCACAGTGGTTTAACCACTGGTAATATAGATTTATTTGTAATTGTATGTTTTGTAAACCAGAGTGCAGGTTACCCTAGCTTTGTGACAAATGAGCAGGACAGCTAAATAATTACACTGGGCATTGCGGTAGAGGAGCTGCTCTTTGGAGGTTTATTTTGACGTCCTTGTGTATTTATCTGTACTGTCATGTTTGTCTCCTGAGCATAGGCTGAATGTTTTGAGGGGCCTAATGTTTTCTGCAGTTTGTCGCTGTTGACAGCACAACATTGTCATTCATTATTGTGTACCGTCCTGCAGCTTCTTGTAGCCCTGTGTTTATATGTGCAGATTGTGACAGGCATGGACTGACAGTGTTGATAACAAGTAGAGTGAATGGTAAGCCTCTCTTTGGTCTCATACTGTCAAATTCTTTAATGTTCCCAGGCGAAATGATGAGGTTTGTCATCAGTGTGCAGACAGAATTACTGCTGGTCCCCATACAGTGTACAGGGGGTTATTTATTCATGAGATAAAAAGCTTGTTGGGCTGTGTTGATTTCAAATCAAGGTAGACACTCTTCATTTTTTTCGATGGACAGATTAAAGTATTATTTTGTCCATTTATACATACAGGCTGTTGCTC